CAATGGGTAAGAGCTGGAAGAACAATGAGCGAGGTGGAAGAACAATGGGTGAGAGCTGGAAGAACAATGAGCGAGGTGGAAGAACAATGGGTGAGAGCTGGAAGAACAATGAGCGAGGTGGAAGAACAACAGGGGAACATCAAACCAGATGGAAAGCAAGGAAGCGCTCTATGCAGACCGAACGTTAGATAAGAGAAAGAAATATTTGTCAACAAAACGTGAGCGCGACGACGTGCGAACATTTCGCGACCGATCGGACGCCGAAAACCCGCCGCCGTCGTCTTGCCCCCGCTCTCGAGACTGCCGCCGCCACTCACCGGAGAACACGGGGCTGGAGCACGAGCCGTACGACGGCGTCAGACTAGAGCCGACCGGATCGAGGACAATCTGCGCTTGCGGCCACGATGAAGTCATCGCCGTCTGCTGCTGCTGCTGCTGCTGCTGGTCGCCCGGAGACTGCGTGTAGACCGTCTGCTGCTGCTGAGTGGCGCCAGCTACAGCTGGAAGTCGGCGTACAGAAAAAAAAATTAAAAAATTTTTATTTTTATTTTTTGCGAGTACTTTTTTTTTTGTATCGGTGAATCCACTTTCGACTCATTTTATTTCGAATTCGTTTTTTTAGAATTTTCTTTTAATTTTATTATTATTATATTTTATGGTTTTAAATTAGGACGTGGCTACGTGTCCGGGTCCCGGACGCCCAGGCTACGCGTCCGGTCATGTATTTCTTATGTGAACCCAACTATATTTTTCAGTAAAAAAACAAATGATTTGTATAGTATAGAGAGATGGCGTGCGACGGACGAACAAATGGCGTACCGGCGGCGAGACACACGTATACGCCCCCTGGTTGCGATAGCAGCTGTATGACCTGCTGCTGCTGCTGCTGCTGCTGCTGCTGCTGCGCGCTCAGCACTTGTGTCGCCACCTGCAACAACAACAGAGCATGCAATGAGCGGACTTCGCCGCCGGCGTCGCCCACGGCAACGCATCTTTGGAATGCAGCGTCGGCGGAACTCGCAACGCGACTGCGACCCTAGATGAGGAAGACACACAAACCCTAGGATGGAGGAAGACACAAACCCTAGGATGGAGGAAGACACAAACCCTAGGATGGAGGAAGACACAAACCCTAGGATGGAGGAAGACACAAACCCTAGGATGGAGGAACACACAAACCCTA